TTTCCTGATGCCTCCCAAAGGCATTTAATGAAGCAGTAGCAAAACTGGCCTCTAGAAATCTAGATGAAGAACTCTCCTTGCAAAAGGAATATATCCATGTAAAGAGTTGGCTGCTGATGAAGATAAATTCTTCATTACACCCCTCATAATTATTTAGAGGAGAAATGAAAGACAAATATGGCACTAGCAAGTGCCAGAAAATCTTTGTCGCCTGGCACAGAAATAGGTAAATAAATCTTTGTGTTTTACAGGAGTTATTTTTGTTTTTTGATTCTCAAGTTCCTGCCTTCCTTCCTCCTTTCTTTCTTCCTACCTTCCCTCTCTCCTTTCCTCCTTCCCTGTCTCTTCCTTGCTTTCCTTTCTTTCTCCTTCTCTTCCTTCCCTCCTTTTTCCTTGTGCCACTTAAAGGGGCCACAACCTCTTTGAATATTCATAGAAATATGTCTGTGGTACTATGTAAATAGAGATATCCTTAATTATGATTGTTATACCTACTTAAGACCCACTGGTGAAAAGTTGTCTCAAACTGCAGTCCTTGTAGAATGTGTTGTAAGTTCTAAACACTATTTTTCAGAATTTTCCATGTGTCTCCCTCCTTTTCTCTGTTCTCCATTCCTCCTTTTTTCCTTTCCTTTCCCTTCCCTTTCTTTCCTTTCCTTTCTTTTACCTTCATCCTTCTCTCTCTCTCTCTCTCTCTCTCTCTTTCCTTCTCTCTCTTCCTTTTTCTCTCCACTCCCCCTCCTCCTTTTTCATTTTTCCTGAAAAACAGTCACAGAGGTCTAGTACCAAAGTAGTTCCAAATAGGACACCCTTCTTGGTCCTTAAATAGCACCTACAGATTCAGGTCCTAAGTGGTTTACCATGAGTCAAAATAGTTACAAGGGTAACATAATCAGTACTTCCATTTCCTCCCCTCTGTTTTATTTAGAATTGAATTAGGAAGTGGAAGTTTTTAAGAGTTTAATTCACTTCTCCATAAAGTTTATGGAGCATCAACAGCTGGCTGAGTCCCTGGTAGGAAAAAAAAGCCAAGTTCTAGTGGCCAAGCTATTGTTTCTGAATTTAAAGGGTGGGGGAGGCAGGGAGAGGAACTCATTAGCTGTTAATGAAAACACAGGGAATTAAAACAAATAGCACAGAAACCCTAGCAAATAATTACCTTACACCTGACACAAAGCTGCTCTCTCTTCCTACTCCAACCTTCAGAAATTCCCAACTTATCACTCTATGAAGCATGAATGAAATTTTATTTGACTTTCAGGAAAGAACAGTGGAGGAAACCATCTCCCTTGGAGGCCCAAAGACATGATATCCAGTGGAGAACCTGCCCCTGGAAATATTAAATACAGTATCTAGTGTCCAATTTTTAAGACACTGGAATAGAGGTACAAAATCCTAGCTAAAAGCAAGTGAGCCCTTTTTCTGGTTCCCCAAATCTCATTTTGAAATAGACAAAATAGTACAAGTTGTGATTAATGAAGGTGTACAGTGGTGTGTTAAAATAAGCAGCTATAGAGATATGGATTAATTCTAAGTTGAGCTGTTGCAGGGATGGCTCTGTCTCCCATGGCAGAAAGACTCTCCAGTGGGAGAGATGCTCTAAACAATGGAGTTCCTAAGTTCTAATTGCAGAGACAGCGAGGGGAGGCCTCTGTCACTATGGCTTGGGATCATTTATGTCAGATCCCACTGGACTGGGGGAGTAATCACCTGGTCCTGTACTGGCAGATACACAGAGAAATCTCAAAAACGTAGTTTAGAACTAACAAGGCATGCCAACAGTACTGCAGTTTGAGGGAATCTTTTGCCTGTGGGGCTTGAAGAGGTATAACCTTCATAATCTTATCAGCTTTTCTGTATATATAATACAAAGGATGTATTTTTGCTCCTCCTCCCTTTTCTCTCTCTTTCCCCTTAGATTGCTCAAGGGGTTTGTGCCCCTTGAAGTGGCACTGAGGATAACTCCATCACCGGAAACTAATTAAGCTTATGTACAAAAACCTCTTTTCAAAGTGTTCTGTGTTTTCCCCAGCCAGGGAGAGAGAGCACTGATCCGGGATTGGTGCTACTCTCGTGTGAGTTGTATACCATCCTGTATTAAGGTAACTGTCCTGAATTGAGATTGGGGGGTTTAAATGTCAACCTTGGGATAGTTACATCAGAAGCCACAACAATTAGGGTGGAGCTGACTCATCCCCCTGCAGCTCATAGTTTGAGGGACAAGGCTTCAGAAACAAGGGGCAGTTAGATGGTGCAGAGGATAAAGTGCTTGGCCTTGGGGTCAGGAAGACTCATCTTCCTGAGTTCAAATCTAACTAACCTCAGACACTTACTAGCTGTGTAATTCTGGGCAAGTCATTTAACCATGTTTGCCTCAGTTTCCCTAACTGTTGTAAAATCACTCCAGTATCTTTTCCAAGAAAACCCCAAATGGTGTCATGGAGAGTCAGACATGACTGAAAAAAAATGAGTTTAGAATCAAGGGCCCCTTCTGAGCTAGGTGGGTGTTTGAGAGACCAGCGGGTATTCTGCCTAATAGTAGGTTTTTGCTAAGGCAGTACATTTGTCAAACTTTTGAGATAAGCTAAGTAATCTGGGGCCCAGGACAGTGCTTTTTAAGTGACCCTCCTAGAAAAAGAGAGTCCTGGATTTGAAGATCTCAACTCAAATCCTAGCTCTGCCACCAACTTGCTATGTGACCTTATACAAGTCATTTCCCTTCTTTTGGCCCCAGTTTCCTTCATCTGTGAAAGAGGAAGGAACTGGACTAGATGATCTCTGAGATTTCATGTTAAAAAATCTAGCATTCTATGACTTTATCCTGGAAAAGATATCCTGTATTAGGCAACCTAAACCTCAAGCTTGATTTTGCTTTCTTCTTTTTTTTAAAATGAATTTTGGTGTGATCCAAAGGGAGAAAAAAAAATCCTTTTTAGAGAGCAGACTTATCAGGCTTGTCGGCATCCTGCCCAGTACTCTTTCTCTGCAGATTGTGCTGGTGATGCTATTTCAGCGGCTCTGCTGTGATATGAAATCTGAGCGTATTATACCTCTGCCTGGTATTTGAGAGCATTTCTAGTTAGAATGAAAATTACACAGTGGTGCCTCAACCATAGCTGTTGTGCTCTTGTATTTTTTTTTTCTCTGCTCTTTAATGTCTAGTCAGTATTACCTAGTAGACCAGCTAGGAGAACATTCCCACTGCATGGGGCCCAGAGACTGGGCTGTCTGTGAGAATTCTGGCTTTTCCCCTTTTCCCTCTGTAATAAACTCTGCAATCGCTAAGGCCCTCTCGTCTTTAGATCACCCTGGCTTCTGCCTCCCTTGAGTATAAGAAGAGGGTAGATTCAGATCAGATGGTCACATCCTTCCCTGAAAATGACAAAATAAGGCATCCACTTCCACCCTCTCTCTTTGACAGCCTTCACTACCTGCTCCCTCCTCCAATTTGATTGCAGAACATAAAGCTTTTAAGAGAGACAATATCAGCTCTTTGGAAGTTGTTTAGTTCAGTGTTCCCTAGTTGGAATTCAGGGCCAAAACCCCTCCAGTGTTTACTGAGCTTAGCACTGGAGTTTGTGGTTGGAAATTAGTATTGGAGATCATAGTAAATTCAGCGGAAAATCCTTTTCCAGTGTTTACTGATTGTGAAATGAAGAGAGCAGCTGTCGTGTCCTGTTATCAGCGATCCGAGCCTCTGTTTGGATGAGTTAAGCAGAGCCTCGGCTTCCTCTCTCCAAATGAGCTAACATCTTGCTTCAGTATCTTTTGAAGTACCTGCATAGCTGAGGTCCTCTTTTAGCGCTGGCCATTTGTGGGAGATGAGGCTTGTATAAAGTGAAAGTGTTCAGATAAAAGTGGAAGTGTTGTCATGGGGGAAGCACTGAATTGGGAGTCAGAGGAGCTGGGTTTGAATCCTGCTTCTGCATCTTATTATTTCTGTAATCCTGGGCAAATCACTTTGGTTCTCTATAACCCAGTTTCCTCATTTGTAAAGTGAGCTTGTCAGACCTGAAGATCTCTGGGGTACCTTCCAACTTCATAGCTGGGATGCGAAGACTCAACAATGTTTTCATTCCAGAACTTAAGGGTGCCTTTCCTCCTAGGTATAGATGGTCTGCATGAAGCACTTTGCAAACCTTAAAGGGCTCTCTCTATAAATATGTCCGTTATTGTCATTATTGTTATGGCTTTGCACAGCAAATGTTAACTGTTAGAATGAACTACCAAGGGATCAGTAGAAGCAAGAGTTGTAGCTATATTGCTTGTGACCAGTCACAGAATGAACAAATTGTTTACAGGGGTATACAGTAACAACAACAGTAGCAGCTAACTTTTATATAAAATTTGCAAAGCACTTTACATGTGTTATCTCAGTAGGTAGTATTATCCCCATTTTACAGATGAGGAAACCAAGACTGAGAATGGTTTAGTGACTTGTGCAGGGTCAAATAACTAGTGTCCTCCTGACTCCCAGTCCAGCACTCTGTCTATCGTGATGCAGTATGCTGGGTAGTCCAAGAAAGAGCCAAGAAGATCTAGGATACTGGAATGGAAGCATGTAGACCCATAGGGACGTGGAGGGAAAATGGAATGAATAATCCCTTGTTTCTCTTTTTACTAGCCTTTGTTCCTTCCATTTTTTTCCTCTTCCCAGTTTTCTTGAAATTTAACTTATCATTTTCAAATGATTTTTTGCTGCCTCCCAATGCAAGAATGCAGCAAAACAGCAGTTCTTATCATTCATGTATTCTTCTTGTTCAGGCAGCAAGAAAGTGTATTGGTGACTTGCAAATTATTCTGCATCACTTATTTCCTTAACCCATGCAACTTAAAATTTTGAGGTATAATATTTGGGTGCTGAAAGGGGCCTTCAAGAAGAAATAAAGAAGCTCTTTGTGTCCACCAGAAGACCTCTTCAGAATTCTTTTTAGAAAATATTCACAGTATGATATAAGCCTGTTTCTTTTTCTAAATGTTTTTCTTTCTCCTTTTTTAAGGAGGTGACCAACCTGAAAATTACTTTGGGCAAGACAGCTCTGAAGACACTCCCAGTGGGACTCATGGCCCTGGTTTAATGTCAGATGCATCTTTTATGTCAGATTATCAAGATGAAGGTAAGTGTCCTCCTTTCTCTCTGGGTTCCAGGTCTAGTTCTGTTAGATTTTGTTTTTGCTTTTTTTGCCTCCTGCCATTTTTGACCCACTGGGTTGTTTACAAAGGTGATTGCTGGCTTTGTAGGCCATCAGCAATTGTTTCCCTGGGACACTGGCTTTCTGAGGAATTCAATACTTCTGGAGTTAATGGTGGCCTGGCAAACACTAATTTTATATTGGGGTGGGGAGATACCATATTGATCTCTGTGTATAAACTGTAGCCCCAAAGCCAAGTGGATATTTGAATGTCACAAAGCCTATGCTGCTACTTTTATGGGACTCATCCTCTTCGCCGCATTGTCTGAGAATTGCGAGCCTTTCATGCGTGATTAATTGGGACCACTGAGCTCAGTGAGCCATGATAAGATATCACCCAAGTCAACTAAGCCATGACCTTAGGGAAATGGCTTCTTGGTGGCCTGTCCTGGTATGCTGGGTATTCCAATGAAGGGCCAAGATGATCTAGGATACTAGAATGGAAGCATGTGAACCCTTAGGGACATGGTGGGAGAATTGAACAGATAATTCCTTCATCTGTGTCAACTCTTGGAGCAGACTCCAGGTCCAATGCACTCTCCACAGCGCCCCTTAGCTGTTATAGTCGTGTTATCGCCGTGCCTGAAGAAAGTGGGCAGTCACAGTAGATAAAGTGCTTGGCCCTGAAATCAGGAAGACTCATCCATCATCTTCCCCACATCTGGCCTCTGACACTAGCGGTGTGACCCTGGGCAAGTCACTTAACTTTGCCTCAATTTCCTCATCTGTAAAATGAGCTGGAGAAGGAAATGGCAAAGTACTCCAGTACTACTCCAGTATCTTTGCAAGAAAACCCCAAATAGGATCTTGAAGAGTTGGCAATGACTGAACAACAGTAACAACAACAAAGAAAGTGAAGAGACTCTGAGTGAAGGTCATGAGTTTTTTGGGCTTTGCAGCATTTCTTTTGGCTGCTTAATGACCTTGCTTCCTTTATGGATCTCAGATGTGTCCATCCATAAATGATATGGTTGGGGTTATCAGAAAAATTCCCTCCTCAGAAATGACCTCCTGTGATCATACATTTAGAGCTCAGAGGCCATCTGATCCAATCTCTTCACTTTACAGCTGAGGAAACTGAGGTTAAGAGAGGTTAAAGGATTTGCCCAAGGTCACTCAGTCTGCAGGTGCCAGGTGGGCTGCTAGGTGGTGCAGTGGACAAGGAAAGGGACATTGAGTCAAGGAGATCAGTGTTCAAGTGCTGCCTATACACTCATTAACTGTGGAGTTCCAAGACCCTGAACCTTTCTCACTTGGTACACCTTAAAACACTGTATAAATGCTAGTGATTAAAATTAATTCTGGGTAAATTTGCTATAATGCGCCAGCCTTAGAGCTATCTGGGATCAGGGGCTATCTCTAACATCTACTAGATGGGTGCCAATGGCCACATCATTTAACCTCTCAGTGCCCCAAACAGCCCTCTAAGGTGGTGTATTTAATCTGAGGTCAGTGAAATTTGTCTTTTTTTAATAAAAGATTTTGATAACTGTATTTCAGTGTAACGGATTTCCTTTGTAATTCTGCATCTTTCATTTTATGTATTTAAAACATTATTCTGTGAAAGGGTCTGTAAGTTTCACCAGACACCAAAAATCTTAATAACTATCACAAACAAGTTGCCGATCTGTATCAGGCAGCTAGGTGGAGCAGTGGTTAGAGCACTGGGCCTGGTGTCAAGAAGACCTGAGTTCAAATTTGACCTCAGACATCGACTAGGTGTGTGACTTTGGACAAGTCATTTAATGTCTGTCTTCCTCAGTTTCCTCAACTATAAAATGGCGATAATAATAGTGCCTGGGGTTGTTGTGAGGATAAGATGAAAAGATATTTTTCAAGTGCTTTGCAAACCTTAAAATGCTATATAAATACTAGTTATTATTATCATTTCCTTTATCAGTAAAAGATGTTTCCCCATACCTATGAAGTTGCGATGCTGAACCACTCCCCTACCAAAAAATAAATTAGCAAAAGGCAGTGGAAGTCAGATGGAAAAGATAAGGTGAATTCTCAAGAAGATCTGTCAGTTGTCCTGCATGATAACGAGGAGATCAGAAGGAGATTCTATAAAGGCCTTGTTTTCACCTGGCCTTGACCCTATAGACCTATTTCGCTGCATTTTGCCATTACAGGTAGCCATGGCATCCTTCAAGCTGCTTTCCTTTTCACCTCTGAAAGAGAGCTTGAGACACCCTTTAAGAGCAGAGCATGGTGCTCCTTTCCAAAATTCTTTACCATGTCTGCCTTTTTAAGGCTCCCAATTTAAAAAAAAAATCAGAAAATGCAAAGACTGAAAAACACGAATGTGTCAGATCTGTTGCCCACTTTTTCTGAATAAGGCAGAGCCTTACATTAAATTTAGTTAGAAAAGGCAACAAGGAATGCCCTGAAAGGGAATTGAGCCTTTCAGCCTGGAACCTCAGAACAGAGGGGTTGTACCCAGGGTTTATAATGTGCCTGCAGAAATTGCCGAGAGTCCTAGAAGAATGTAGCAACCTGACCAGGTGCACTGCCAAGAAGAAAAAAGAAAGGAAGAAAACAAAAGGCTACAGATTAAACTGTGCATAAAAATGAGGGTGCAAAACAGCCTCATGTCCCTGCCTCTGCCTCCCCCTCCCCCTCTATAAGCCTTGATGAACTGAAGACGTGTCGCCGTACCCTACGGAGAGATGCCCACAGGAGCATAGCCCCACCATCTGGAACAAAAACTTGCTAACGAATTCTAAGAGTTGCATTTCCAGACTTGAGTACACTTGGTGCTGAACACTCAGATATGATCTCTGGGCCTAATACTTAATGCATAGGCCCTCCCCAGAAAACTAAAATCTGCTTACTCACAATGCCCCAAAGTGCATAAGCTATTTAAAAATGGATTTATAGGTTTATGGACTTCTCGGTCAGCAGAGTATAGTTTTTCATCTTAATATAAGTCCTTTAAGAAGGACAAAAATTAAACTTTTAAAAATTTTTCCCCAGTTACATATTACAACAATTTTTAACATTTTTTTTTAAGTTTTGAGTTCCAAATTCTGTCCCTCTCTCCCTCCCTCTGTTCCCCCCTCCCTGAGACAGTAAGCAGTCAGATATAGGTTATACATGTACGATCACATAAAACATTGAAGGAAAAAAATTTTAAAAAGAAAAACCCAAACACTTCAGAGAGTCAGGAACAGCATCTTTTAGCAGAAGGAAAATTTATAATGCAGGTCTTAAGAACTAAAGAAAAGTTCTTTCATCAAGGGTGAAACCTGAAGACATAACAATGTATTGTACCAGGCTCATTACAATAAAAGAAAAGAAGGGGAGTGGTAAGAGGAGATGTTGAACAGGTGCAGCGAGATGGAAATCAGGAACGAAAATGCTTTAATTTTTGTACCAAGATGTTGGATGTCATAGAATGAGTGTCATTCTCTTCAGGAAACAGGGTGTATGGCAGTGAGAATAAGAGCGGCATCTGATGCAGAGGCTGGTGATGGGAAAAACTGCAGAATTAGTGGCAGAGCTCAGGGCCTCCAGCTGTGCCCTCTGATCAAAGGGGAGAAGTTGTAGCCAGCATCCACGTGCTGGTGCTAGGGACTGGGACACTAGAGACAGAGAAGCTTCTAGAGAGAACCTGGTTTTTAAAGGAGATTTTTGGTGTGACTTTGCATAGCTTTCTTGTCTTCACAAGTTTGGGTCTGAAGAATGGGCTTGGAGACTTGTAGCCAAGCACCCATTACAGTGGTCACTGGCCTCTTGCTAGCACCTATCAGGACAGTAAGGCAGACTTGGTGCAGCTCCAGCCTTATTCCAGAGTAAGTAAAAGTGGGATTGGATTGAGCGCTATTACTTTGTTAGTGTGTTTTCTTTCTTCTAATTATTTATGATGGGGAAGGGAGGAGATTACAGCTGACACTCTCCTCCCATGTATTTGGCTGAATGTATCTTCAACAAATGCTTAAAATTGTTTCTGTGTTGTAAATTAGGAATAAATGTCACCCATAGGTGACAGTTATTTAGGTACTTTGTGCTTTTTTTAAAAATTTTTTTTATAATTGGGGTTAATTGACTTGCCCAGGGTCACACAGCTAGTAAGTGTCAAGTGTTTGGTCTGAGGTCGGATTTGAATTCAGGTCCTCCTGACTTCAGGGCCGGTGCTTTATCCACTGTGCCACCTAGCTGCCCCTACTTTTTGCTTTTAAGAGTTTTGCATCCATTGCCTCATTTAATTATCACTACAACTGTATGAGGTAGGTAATATAGGCATTTTCATACCCATTCTACAGATGAACAGATGGAGGCCACAACTAGTAAAGTATCAGAGGCACGATCTAAACCCTGGATCCAAGTTCAGATCCTTCCCACGATAGGATGCTGCCTCTTCAATGAAAATAGGATACATTGGCTACATTTTGTAATGAACAATTGGGACCCTTTCTCTAAATTTCTTTGAATGTCTCACATTCTTTGTACTCAAGATTGTTCATCTGTAAATTAGGTATCAAAGTGTTTATTTATAAAGCAGCTTGAAATCCTTAGCCCGGGAGGCAAGCATAAAGTGTCACATTACTGTAGGTCTATGTTAAATTACCATTGTTTAATTTCTTAAATGGAACAAATTACTATGTTGCTAAGAATGGTTACTGAGGTTCTGTGAATCAATGATATGAGATTTGGGGTAAGTGATTCCCGCTGCTCATGCTAAATCTGGAGACAGCATGGGACAATAGATTTCGATTCCAAGGATCTGGGTTCAGTTCCACATGCTGCCAATTATTGGCTGTGTGTGCCTGGGTAAATCACTGAACCTCTCTGACTCTGTTTCTTCATCTGTAAAATGGGGATAATAAACCTGTATTACACTACCTATCTCACAGAACTGTAAAGAAAATGTCTTGCAAACCTTTACAAATATGAATTGTTATCTGGGACTAGATCCACATGGG